GAGATGAGGAGTAAGGGGGATGATCAGGGGGGCTGCGGGGGGCGTCGAGGAGCGCGGAGGATCAGCGCAGGGGAAGGGACTTGCAGGGAGGGGCCGAATGGGTTGGGGGAGTGTGGAGTGAGGGATGCGGAGATGAGGAGAGGAGGATTGATGCGAGGAGAAGTACAACGCAGAGCAAGACGCGGTGCCAGCTGAGCAGAAATTCAAGAACGCCACTGTGAAGCTGGAGGCGCAAACGGTCAAGGTGAACTGGACATTCGAGTTCACCAGCCTGGCCGAAAAAAAAACACGCGAACCTAGAGCTGAAAATCACCCAGCTGATTGTCTCGGCCGCGGAGATAGCAAAGTACGACAAGGCGGCGACAGGCGACGTGTTCCGTTTGGTGAGGGGCGGCAAATTCCCAGAGTCGCGCGGGCAAGTCACGGCCGGGCCGAGCGCGAAGGGCAAGGGCAAGGGCAAGGGCGGAAAAAGGCAAGAAGGGCAAGGAGGGCAAGGGCGCCACGACCGATCCCGGGGCGAAGCACCTCTTGCGTTAATTCGAGAGGCCCGCCGCCGAGCCACGTGGGCGGGCTCGGCCGACCTCCCTCAGTTGTGCAGGGCGTTCGCGAACAGCCAGAGCTGAGGGTGGGCTCGAGGTTGGGCCAGGAGGAAAAGGATGAGGTAGTGGGGGCGAGGGAGGGGGTGGATGATAATGATAAGAATGGTTAGGGCGAGGACGTGGTTCTTCGCTCTTCGCGAACCTCTAGCCCCCCCCCCCCCCCCCCCGAACATGACCAAGAGTTCGCCTAGTTGTGGCTGCTGGGGTAGGTAGCCGCCGGCTGCCACTGCTCGCGAGCTTGCAGTGCATGACCTTGGTCAGGGCTGGAGGGGGTTGAGGCTAGGGCGGGCGCGAGCATCGCCTGCTTGTTTTTGCGTCGGCAGCGGCTCCTAGTACACCACACTCCGCTAATAACCTCGCTACCTCCCCCCCCCCTCCCCCTCCTGCTCGACCCCCCCGCGGGCCGCTCTCCAGGCGGCGGCCCGTTGCCGCGAGGCGCGGCCGACTGGACAGGAACCGAAGCGGCTGCTGCGACGGGTCTCTCTCTCTCTCTCTCTCTCTCTCTCTCTCTCTCTCTCTCTCTCTCTCTCTCTCTCTCTCTCTCTCTCTCTCTCTCTCTCTCTCTCTCTCTCTCTCTCTCTCTCTCTCTCTCTCTCTCTCTCTCTCTCTCCCTCCCCCCTCCCTCCCCTCCCTCCCCGCTCCCTCCTCCTCCTCCTCCCTCCTCCTCCTCCTCCTCTTCCTCCCTCCCTCCTCCGCTCTTCTTCTTCCCTTGCCCTCCTCGCTCTCCCCCCCCCCGCTCCCTTCCCGCCCTCCTCTCTCCCTTCCTTTTCCTCGTGCGTCATCCTCTCGTTCCTTTCGCATTTCCACCCTCTGCTTGCCTCGGCCCTGCGGCGGCGCGGTGCGGCGGCCCAGCCCGGGCCCAGGGCGCTGCTCCACTCCGTCGTCGTCGTCGCCGTCAGCTCCCTTCCACTAGTCCTCCCCCTCTCCTCCTGATCCCGCCCCCTTCCCCTCCTCACCCCCCCCCTCTGCTTTTGCCCGCGCATGTTTCGCGTTCAACCACATCTCGACTTGCATGTGGTCAGGTTTCGCACAAGGTTCGATTCCCAATTCCGCGTCAAGAGTGCAGGCATGACAGGCATGCGAACATGAATGGTCTGAGCCTGCGCTCGGATATGATTGAACTCGCCTCGTATATGACGGACCTCATCCGAACCCCCCTTCTCACTCTCATTCGCCCCGTCCCCTTTCCCTCCTCGTCCTCCTGAGCCTCCTCGTGATGTCTCCTACTCGTGTGCTCCTCCCTTTCTCCTGCCCCTGCTCCTCCCCGCTCCCCCCCCCCCCTCAACTCACCGTGGCCATTTTTGCTCCAGATCAGCCGTTTCGGCGGAGGGCCTCAACGTCAGTAGTTCGCAGATTCCCTTTATTTCGATGCTCAGCTTCAGCGCGTTTCCTAGCGCGTTTCCTAAATTATCCGCACGTGTTTGGGTAGAAGTGCTGATATGTTTGCTGTGTTTGGTTAAGCTCGCTGCGGGCAGCTGGCCTCTCTTGAGCGCGCGTGGACGCCGTGTCCGCCGTCCGATCCTCCTCCTCATTGTTCTCATTCTCTCCTTCCTCCTCCACGCCCCCCGAGCGATCCGAGTGGATGGGGTGCCCCCCCTTCCCGCAGCCCCTCCTGGACTTCGCTCTTTCCCAGGGGGGATGACTACCCACCTCTTGGCCGTCTGGTCGGTCTTTTGGGGCCATCGGTTCCCTTGAGTCCCTCCAGAGGCCCTTTCGGCCTAGCTTGGGGCTTTCTGGGGACCGTCCTGGGCCCATTGATTTGGGCCCTGGTGGGGCTCTGAGTGGGCTTCTTTTGGTCCTCGAAGGCAACAAGTGGATCGATCTTCGACCGACAAGTGTGGGAAGCGAGCATCCATGAAACACAGTCGTGACCATACTGGTTTTAGCCTCTCGAGGCTTTCCTGGAGAACGTTTTGGGGTGTCTTGGAGCCTCTTGGAGGCCTCTTGGCACCTATCGAGCGCTTGCCAAAGGCAATGAAGTCCTGTATGGGTTCGCCTCGGGTTGGTACTGGCTTCCATTCGGCGCGCAGCATTAGGCGCGCACCCCCTGGGCCCCCGCCTGGCCCGTAGCGACTGCAACTAGCTACTACCTGCCTTGCATCCCCAACGAAACCATTCGTCCGGAGTCCGAGGGACCCCATCGTCCGCTCTACGCCAGCATGCAGGCTCGAATCCGCAGGCCGAGCGCTTGCTGGAGGCTTCCTGGCCACATGGGGGGCCCCACCCAGAGGCTGTGACCGCATGCCCCCCCGCCCATTTCGGCACACCCCTCACAAGTTCCGTGGCCCTTCCAGGGAGCTCCACCAAATGCCTCAGGGGCGGTGACCGCATGCCGTCCTGCCCCCTGGCGGAACACCACTCGCGCGCCTCGTGCCCTCATAGGAAGCTCCAACGAAGGCCCCAGTGGGACAGTTCACATGCGGTACTCACACTCCGGCACGCCCTTCACACGTTTCGCGGCTTCGCAGGCACCCACAGTTTCAGTGGGCGCGATCGTATGGCTCATCTGGCTCGTTTCGGCGCGCCGCGTACACGTTGTGTGGCTCCCATCCGCACTGCCTCGGGGTCCATCCTTCTCGCGGCGCGCTAATACGCGTTGCTCGCAGCTGCACAAGGTTGGGGCCTCCGTCAGGGAAATGTTTGGCGTTGCCCTCGTGCCATCAGTGATTGCCTGGCTCGGAAAAGGGAGGGAGGGGGCGCCCCCCAGCCGTGCGGCGTACAGCGCCGTTTGTGCCGCGCGCCGCGCCCCTGCTGAGTTCCCGGTTGTGTTCCCGCGGTCCCGCCGCGGCTGATTTGCTTCCATTTTGCGCTGCTGATCAATGATCAAGGAGTACCTGGCTGCTGCCAGAGCGTCAAAAGCATGCGCATTGCCAAGGGCATCGGTGATTCTGGAGTGTGCGTTCTGCTCGACCCCAGTCGTCACCCTGACACTGCCCCCTCATCCTCATAGTCGCCGCTGGCTGGTCGGAAACCATTGTCGACAGGCGAGGCGCACAGATAGTTGATGCACGCAAAGGAAGCGGCCCCACAGGATCCATGGCAATCGCGCGGGAGGAGGGGCCCGACAGCCCCTGCGTTTTGCCAGTCTGATGGGAGACATCGTTGACAATGGTGGCGATAAGCATTGTGGCTGGCTTTCGGATTTCCGAGCTGCCCCCTGTAGGTGCTCCAAACACCAGAGCTCAGCCGCACGAGTTACATTGTAATGCCGATGCGTACTCGTTACGGGCTTCTTCGCGGTTGCGGAGAGAGTCTGGCTTGAAACGATTCGCATGCGGCACCACAGCCTTTGTTCGGGCCGCTACGATTTCCCGCGTTGCAGCACTAGGTGATCTCATTGCGACGTGCCGGTGCACACGATTTGTTTTTCTGTTGATTGTGATTGCGACTTTCAGCACCCATACGACCGCTGACGGAGTTCTTTGGTTAACGCCAGGCTTAGGAAGTACAGCGGCCCGTGGCGCGGGTCGATGCAAATTTCATGATGAAGATGCAAGCGGACGAGAAGTTCGATGACGCCACAAGGAGCAATTAGAGCGCCATAAGGCTAGACCAGGCCGATTAAGAACGGCTTAGTGAACACAGGCACCAGCGGTTTCAGTCCAAAGGGCGCGTCCACGGCTGGGTGACCCAAGCATAAGATAGATAAGCCGAATTTCCCGTCGCCTAGTGTGGAAGCTGACTCCCAGGACATCAGCATCAAACTCAATGCGACGAGCTCATCTTGGCCCTTCGCCTGGCCACTTAGATGTATCTGCTTTGGCGACAGTGCGTTGTGCAAGTTTGCAGTGGGGGAACGAGAACGCGTTAGGTTAGTAGGTCGGTGACCGTCGGCGGCGAACAGCACAGAGTGGTTGTGGTTTGAATTCGCCGTGAATGAATTATCATGCCCTTTCCATTGTTCATTGTTAATATCGGCGCAACTGTGCACTGCGATCAGAGCACTAAAAAAGTTCGCGTGCTACAGTTGTGATGCGAGGAACCGTCGCCTGAAGGGGCGTCCCGCATGGGAGAACCTCTGCCGTTACCGACATTGTGATTGCTACGAGGGCAGCAGTAAACACCCGTATCCATCCACAGACGGGCGCGAATTTGTCAATTGGACGTGTTTTAAAAGTGCACAGCCGCGTGTTTGAATCTCACACCATTCCATACCATGCCATGCGCTATCATGTTCTTTGTTAGTGCAGTGCCAGACCGTGCAGGGTCGGGTGATACTATGCAGCGTCTGTTGTAGATCGCACTAGCGCAGCCTGCATCCCGCCTGCCACTCGATGCGGGCTGAGCTGGTGTCTGGGAGTCTCATTCGCACGGCAATTACTTCCATGTATCATCCTCCGCCTCCTCTCTATCGTCGTCATCATCTACCCATCATTCCCTTCCAGTTTCCTCTAAACTAAAGGTGGAGCCGATTGCGTGGTGGAGATGGCAAGCCTTCCGGGCGACCAGATACCACGTCGAATGGAGCTGGGATCTTAAGAGCTCTGAAGTGGGGCACGAGGAGCAGGAGGCAGCTTCAGGAAAAAGGAAGAAGACGGAGTGGTCGGAGAAGGAAGATGAGGAATGAGGACATTTGCACAGCTTTGACAAGAACGTTGGGTAGTATGTTGCGCCATTATTCATTGGTTGGGCTAGCTTGAGTCAGGGTGGGACATGGTGCAGAGCATGGCATGTAGGAGAAGACGGATTCGCTGATCATCGCAAGTTCTTGCTTGATTGGGTGCCGTCGTAGTCGGGCCTCCTGGTTCCATCCGGAGATTGCGTGAACATGAAGCAGTTCAATGCGCCTGGATGCGACCATTCTTTGTAGTCTTGGCACGGCCACAGAGATAGACATTGGTGCGACTAACGTTGTTCACATGTTCACGGTGGATGTACATTATCCGGGCCGCGGTGACATTGTCTTAAGCCGCCTTGTCGCCATGGTGACTCGAGCTTCAGGGAAACGATCCGGAAACGGCAACATGTGATCGTTCAATTGCGAAGCATACCATGCCCATCAATTATGTATGAAGTGCCCGATATGTTGGCAAACTGTGCTCCAGGCGGACAACCGATGTCGACTGGAACAAACCATCCAACAAGCGGGGATAATTTTCAGCGTCTAGACGTTAGGCATCTACGGAGACTGTCTAGGCATCCAGTCAGGGTATTGTGCACAGGGGTTTCAAGGTCACTCCAAATGCCGTCACCGACAGCGTCAGTCCGTCCACCCATGTGGCACATTGGAGAGCAGGCTTGATCGCACAGTGGTCTAGGTTCCTCCTTCTTGTCATCCCTGCTCCTCCTCTGCCCCCTCTCCCTCCGACTCCCGCCTCTTCGGTTCCCCCTCGTCCTTTTTTCTTGCTGAGGCTCACTTTGACCTTGGGAAGCTAAGGCTCATGGCTGGCGGGGAAGGGTCCTCTGAGACCCCCGCCACACACAGAGTAATGAGAGCCGCATCTGGGGTTGGGCAGATGCGCAGGGGCCCGAAGGGAGAGGTGATGGATCTGGCGACGTGGCCAACTCTTGCTCCGAAAAGGGTAGCGCGAGCAGGAATCTCAAGGGGTCCAGCCGTCAGCTCGCACTCACCGCGAGAGGCACGGTAGCCGGCCGTACCTTTGGCTTTCGACCCACAGAAGCAGGAGCAAGAGGAGCAGAGGAAGATTGGCGAAGAAGAGCAGCAGCGACAGCAGCAGCATCTACAGCGGCAGGGCACAGCGAAGGCTGCATTGGCCGCGCTGACGTTGCCGCCACTGGCTGCCGCCCTGTTTCCGAGGTCACGGTTCCAAGCGAAGGGCGGCATTCGAGCTGCGCATCGTCGGGGCCGCCCGGGGCGATGTCAGGGGGCCCTCCTTTCTTGTAATTGTCCTCCCTTCCCTTTCCACCCTCACCTCCACCCTCCGTCCCTCTCGGCTCGTCTCCTCTCCTCGAGACCATTTCTTTATTGCTTGGGGCATGACGGGCGTCATGGCCCCCGCCCCCCCCCCCCCCCCTATGACGTAACGCTCCCCCCCCAGTGCGCTCCGGGCACTGCCGCCGTGCGTATTGGGATCCGCGTAGGTGTCCGCGCAGGAATCTGCATAGGAGTCTGGTCTGCAGTCGTCGTCGTCGATGTCGTCGTCGTCGTCGTCGTCGTCGTCGTCGTCGTCGTCGTCGTCGTCGTCGTCGTCGTCGTCGCTCGTGGCTCGTGGCTCGTGGCTCGTTGCTCGTCGCTCATCGTCGTCGTGCGCGCGGACGCGGCTGGAGCCTGTTTTTTTAATTCCGGGCCGATGACGGCAATCATCTGGGGGGGTGGAGGGGGTCGATGACGTCACGCTTCGCGCTGGCGGCGCCTGGGAATGCTTAGGAATGACGGAGGACGGGTGGCACCAGCATGTAGGTGGCGATCTGCACCACAACGCCTGTGTACACCTCAGTGTCTGTGTGCACCACAGCGCCTGTGTACATCACACCTCCTTTGTACACCACGGCAGCCGCACGCAACACAGCGTCAGTTTGTGCCGCCGCGCGCTCGGGCACAACAGCTCTTGTGTACACCAGAGCGCCTGCGTACACCACATCAGCCGTGTGCAACACAGCAGTGTACACCACAATGCCTGCGTGCATTGCAGTGCCTGTGTACACCACGGCGCTTGTGTGCACCACAGCGACCGTGTGCAACACAGCACCACTGTTGTATGTAGAATGTTAGAAGGAATCATTATGACGAAATGGAGCGTTTGTGGATTCCACCGAAAACATCATAACATAATCCTTATGGACAAGGGAACGCCAGGGGAATCTACGAGTCCTTCCGAGTTCGCCCGCATCACCGTAACTCCTCCCGTCTGCGTCCAGGAGGCTCCAGCTAAATTGGCTGTCCGAAAACCAAGTGGGCCGATTCAATAGACCATTCTGCGGTGCACGCTGAGTTGCGCACGTCTGCTGTAGCTCCAACCCGCACGACAGGGGGTAAGGAGGAGGAGGAGGAGGAGGAGGAAGAAAAAGAGAAAAAGGAGGAGGAGGAGGAGAAAGTGGAGGAAAATGGAAGAGGGAAAAACGTCGCATTCGATTATCAGCACTTTCCTGGCGTGGCGCTTCCGCAGCAGACCCTCACGTACAGGCTCCTTCTACTTGTCCTTTGTACGCAGGCACTGTGGTGTACAATAGCGCTGCGTTGCACGCGGATGCTGTGGTGTAGACAGGCGGTGTGGCGTGCACAGGCGCCGCGGTGCACGCAAGCATTGTGGAGTACACGCGCGCTGTGTTGCACATGGTTGCCTCCGGTGTGCACATGTACACCGGCGCTGTAGTGTACGCAAGCACTGCAGTGTACACAGGCGCTGCGTTGCATACGGTTAGTGCGATGTACGCAGGCGCTGTGGTGTACACGCGCGCTGTGGTGCACGCCAGCGTTGTGGTGCACACAGGCGCAAGTGGGCAGATCGCCACCTACATGCTGCTCGCGTCGTCGTCGTCGTCGTCGTCATCGTCGCTTGTCGCTCGTCGCGTCGTGCGCGCGGGCGCGGCTGTGGTGCCGGAGCCACACGGCGGGGGGGGGTGTTACGTCATACCCCCCCCCGCCCCCCTCCCCTAATGACGCCCGTCATTGCCGAACATAATGAAACGCTCTCCTCCCTCCCACTGTCCATTTCTTGCCTCCTTCTTACTAGCCTGAAGCATATCCCTATCCATATGTGTCGCATCACCTTTTGCCCAAGTGCCGATCTTAAGGATTCCCTCAGTTCAGCAGGGCACATCTCTAAGATTGCCGATCTCAGGAATAGGGATAAGTTCGAGGCTGGCGACTCTCCCTCTCTGACCGCTTTCTACACCCTGCTGCCATCCCTCCTCCTCTCTTCCACTCTCTTCTCCCCCTATTCCCGCTCACTTTCCTCCGTACTCATTTCATTAATCTTCCCTCTCCTCCTCCTCCTCCTCCTCCTCCTCCTCTTCCTCCTCCTCTTCCAACTCGTCCTCCCATTTCTCCATCTCCCTCTATTACCCCGCTCTTCCCCCCCTTCACCCACTTCTATCCGGCTCACCTCCCTCTTCCGCCCCTCCCGCCCTCTCCCGTTCCCTCTCCCACTCCTTCAGGGGTGCTCCCTGAATTGGGGAGTACGACGAGGATGACGAAGTTGACGAGAAGGAAGAGTGGAAGAGAAGGAGGCGGAGGAGGACGAAGAGGAGAAGGAAGACAAGATGGATGAGGTGGAGGTGTGGAGGTGTGGAGGTGTGGAGGTGGAGGGTTGCATGAGGATGTAAGGAACAGGCCTTATAATGATGTTGCTAGTGGAGATGATGTAGATGCAAGTGTAGATGAAGATGTAGATGTAGATGGTGATGGTGATGCCGGTGCGGCTGCTGTTCATGATGGTGATAATGTTGTTGCCGATGATGATGATGATGATGATGATGATGATGATGATGATGATGCTGATGATGATGATGATGATGATGATGATGATGATGATGATGATGATGACGCTGATGATGCTGATGATGATGACAATGATGATGACACGAATGATGGTGCGGACGATGATGGTGGTGATGATGCTGTTGTTAGTTATGATGAGGATAGCGACGACCATGTTGCTGGGTATGCCGACGATGCTGATGATGGTGATGATGCTGATGCTGGCGATGCTGATAATGCTGCTGAAGATGGTGATATTTAAGATGCTGATGATGATGGTGCTTATAGCCATGGTGATGATGACGATGCTGCTGCTGATGTTGATGCTGACGATGCTACTGATGATGATGCTGCTGCTGATGATGATGATGATGATGATGCTGATGCTGATTATGAGGATGGTGCGGATGATGAGGATGAGGATAATGGCGGTGGTGGTGGTGGTGGTGGCGATGGTGATGAGGAGGAGGATGGTGCTGCTGCTGCTGACGCTGCTGGTGATGTGTTTCGTCGATGTCAGGACCAGACTGGAGGCTTCACAGCTTGAAGAAACAATGTGGTCCGTAGCAGAGCGCCTGGGTTCTAGAGATGCCCCGCGCGGGGCCACTTCTAGAGAGTGCTGGCACAGGGGGTCTGCGCTGCGCTGCCTCAGACGGTCGGGCGATGATGATAGCTATCCGTGCAAGAATGCTGAGGCCTCATCCTCAGCGGCTGTGTCATACGTGATGTTGACGGCGCTGCTGCTGACAGGGAGGGGCTCGCCGCGCACGAAATTGATTGGCCTCACTACTGTTCCAGCGTCTCGAGCCAGTGAGCCACCTCCTCCTCGAGCCATCCTGCTGGCGCCACTCCACGGTTGTGGACCGACTTCCCCTCTGACGCCAGCGACGGCTGTCGGGGCCCCGATCACGAGCTTCATCTTCTCCGTGTCGAAGCAGCTCTCCAGTCTGGTGAAGTTGATGGCGAACTGCAAGTCGTCCTTCGACGCCTCGACCTCGAGCTTCTCATCGTCAGCGGGCTGCGATTTCTCCAGGCATTCTCAGATCTCCGCCTGCAGTTGGCCTCCGATGTGGCACTTCTGGAGCGCCTCGAGCGTAGCGAGGCCCAGCGACGGAGCTGGCGACCCGATCTCCTTCGGCCCCTGCCTGTCCATGAGGTCGCTGCTCCTGCGCAGCTCGTCGAGCGTGCTCTTTTAGCCCTCGAGCTCGTAGAGGTATGGCGTCGATGCCGGGGTGTTTGCTGCTGAGTCTGGTCGCTGTTGAGGCTGGTCGCGTGCGAGGTTTGCAGTAGCAGCTTCAAGACCGAGCGCAGGAGGGACAGCAAGTTCTTGCCGTTGCTGCTCCACGTCTTCTCGCCGTGGTCCCCGCGCCTCGCCCTGCGGCCTCCTCGTCGAGCCTTCCTGCGAGGCTCTCGCGCGCCCTCGGCCCCGCCCTCGTCCCCCGCGGGCGGCTGAGCTCCCACGAGGAGGGGCTGGGCTGCTCCGTCCGCTCGTGGCTGCGGTGGGCAGGCGAGGCGGGGCTTCGCGGCTGCTGGCGCTCCATCCTCTAGCCTGGATGCGCTCCCCGACGCTCCTGAGCCTCGTGAGGAGGCCAGGGGGGGTACGCCAGTCCGCTCTCGGCGGCCGCCGGGGCGGTGCCTTCCCCGCCTCCGCTGCCTCCTTGTCCTTGTCCGCCATGACCTGGAGACGGGAGTGGGGACAGGGTGGGAGTCGATGCCGCAAATGGCGTCTTCAGGATCGCTGATGGTCCCGATGACGATGCTGTTGCTGGTCGCGTCCTGCTCCTGGCTCTGATACTCCGCGGCACTCTTGGCGCTGGAACCCGAGAGCCGAGGATGAGGTCTGCCGATCGTCTGAGCGCAGCTCGAGTGCCAGTTGTGTGTCATCGATCCGCCCTGGCCGCCGTAGATCCGAAATTGGTGGGGAACGTGTCGCGGCGGAGGCGGAGTGGTGCCCGACCTTGTCGGGCGTGCCTCGGTCCTGGCCAAAACTGGCTTGAGCAGCGAACCCGATGGCGACGGTGGGAGATGTACAAGTACATGGGCTCATGGACGGTGTTGGTCATGGCAGTCATGATGACATGCTTGGTCGAGATCATATTCAAGCAGTGGACATATAGTACATGCAGCTGTACCCATGGTCATGCATGATGGGTGAGTTCTGGTATGCAAATGCCTGCTATACATGACCGTCGTGTGTGCGTGTGTGTCGTAATGCATGTTCTGTGTGCCGATGATGATGGTGATTGTGATGATGCTGATGCGGATGATGTTGATGCTTCTGATGATGATGATGCTGATGATGATGTCGATGATGGTGATGGTGATGGTGATGGTGATGGTGATGATGCTGATGATGATGATGCTGATGATGATGATGATGATGATGATGATGATGATGATGATGATGATGATGATGATTACGAAGCTGATGATTGTTACGATGGTAATGCACGTGGTGGGGAGGTTGAGTATAGGGATACTGCTGATGAGGATGACGATCATGATGATGCCGATGAGTGTCATAATTACAATGTTGACTGAGATGGTGACGGTGATGGTGATGGTGAAGTTTGTGTTGCCGCTGATGATGATGAGGTTGAGGATGAGGATTCGGGGGCGGTGGAAACTGTGGCGGAGGCGGAGGAGGAGAAGGAAGAGGACGACGATGCTTGCGCGGGACATGGAGGGGAAGGAAGAGGAGGAAAAGGGCGGAGGGGGTCGAGGAGGTTTGTGGTAGAGGGGAGGAGTCGGATGGGAGGGGGAGTGGGAGAGAGATGGGGATTGGGGGAGGGGAGGCAGTGGACGAGGTCGAGGGCATCAGGAAGAGGGGGCGAAGGGCGAAGAGCAAAGGGGGGCCCCCACAGGCCTCCCGGGCCTCTGCAGGGCGCGGCCCTCAACCCGGGCTCGGCCGTGCACGGCACAGGCGGCACCGAGGGACGCGGAGGAGGAGGAGGAGGAGAGGAGGAAGAGGAGCAGGAGAAGGATGAGGAGGAGGAGAAGGACGAGGAGAAGGAGGAGGGGGAAGCAGACCAGAGTAAACCGCTCGATTTGCTCTGGCCCCTGATGCTACAAACACGCCCTCCAAGTCGAACGGCCGCTGGAATGTTGAGGGTCCCAAGCGCATGCGACGGGTGCAGGAACTGAGAGGGAGAGAGGGCTGGATCAGAGATGGATCAGAGGCCTAGGACCCCGCATGCCATCCATACTTGTATACGCTTTTGTATACATCTATGTCTATTCGTGTATACACCTATATCAGGTATACACATATGTCATGTGCGCCCACTGCCGCACGGTGATCATTCATATACGCCAGCGCTCGCAGGACTTGGACATTTTATTTGCACGGCGTTTGAGGTAGCTCACTGGCTGCACGCTTGCGCCACCGAGTGTGGCATCGTGCCGATGTGTTCGCTCCCCTCCCTCCCCTCCAAAATTGCATCGGAAAAAGAACATGTTGATACAAGCATGCATGTACATATTAGAGCCCCTTTGGATACACGTCAAACGACAAGGTCTGCGAAAGAGTAACGGGGCGCGGGTCCAGGAGACGATTTCTCATGCAGTGCACAGCCTCGCGGTTTCGCATTGAATTCTCCCTGTGGGGGAGGGGGATGGGGAGGGGGAGGGGGAGGGAAACGAGCGAGCGAGGAGGCCCTGAGAAGAACATGTGAGAGGACGCCTGGGGGGTGGGTCCTGGCAGTTCAGCTTGGAACGTACGGCGTCTTCCGGTCTCAGGCTGGTCGATCGCGCCCCTCCCCCTGCGTGGCGGCGGTCTGCCGTTGCTTCCCGTTCTTGCGTGTGAGGGGGATCTGGCAGCTTGCTCCCCCTGCGTCCAGCTCGTCTCTGCCCTCCCCTCCCTGCTGCCACCCTAGGGGGCGAGAGAGACAGAGAGAGAGAGGGAGAGCAATAAGATCGGGTGCGAGGCACCGTCCGTGCTCCCTGTTCCCCGCACGGGGAGTGGCACTCCGCCGCACAGATCTCGCAGCGGCGTCCGCCTGCGTGCCCGCACCGCGCAGGCGACTGCAGCCCCTGCGCGTGGTTCTGGAAGAAGAAGGGCTGCCAGAGCCTCGATCCCGTCGGGCAGCCTCCGGGAGGGCCGTGGCCGCGGCCACTGCGGTCACGATCGCATGATGGCGGCATTGCTTCTGCGCGAAAGCGAAACTGCGCCGCCAAGGCTGGACGTGGCTTGAGCAGATTTGTCGGGATGGTGCCTGGGAGGGATCCAGGCGCCGATCAAGTTTTGGGGGTCTCGCAGGAACTTGCTTTGATCAGGATCTTGTGGGCGGCCAGCGGGCATCGCAGCATAATCGAGGCAACGACCGCTTACAATGTATCATGTTGCGGGGCGAGGGGTCTTTGCGAGCCTGATGTGCAGGGACATCTTGATCGATCGCATATGATGCGGGGACGAAGCAGGTATAGGGGAACAGCCAAGTATGACGAGTTCGCCTTTTCTTAGTCGCAGGTGTCCCTGCTTTGACATTCGCTCGTTGCCCGTAGGGCGAGCCATGGACTGGCCGCGTGTTGAGATGCCAGAGTGGATCGCCTCCTGAATTGACGAACCTTTTTTTGTGCTTCGTATTAGTCACATGTGTAGCAGCTGATCGCCCAGGGGTCTCATCGGCTCTGCTGCATCTCCGAATGAGTCGCCGCTTCATTCCCCTCAGCTTTCGTCTTTCTCTTCCTAGGATCGCGGCGTTGAAACTTATCCTGGCGACGGATCTAGTCATATGCTGCATATGCAGATGCGAGTACCGCAAGGCAGGTGGGACGAAATACGGGCAGCTCCCTACTGGGCCACGAAACGAGAAAGGGGTGTGCCGAATCGGGCGCGGTGCCGCCATGCGAGCTGCGGCCTTCGGTGGAGCTCCCTGTGGGCCCCCGAAGCGTGTGAGAGGTGCGCCGATTCGGGGGCGGATGCTCCATGCGAGGGCTGCCGCTGGGGCCTTCGGTGGAGCTTCGTACGGGGACACGGAACGCGTGAGGGGTATGCTGAATCGCGTGCGGGTCTGCCATGCGAACGCAGCCACTGAGACCTTCGGTGGAGCCCCCTACGGGGCTACTAAGCGCGTGAGAGCTTTTTTTATTTTCCTTCCCCCGGGACAACACCACGAAGCAGCATCACAGCGAAGCAGTTATGACAGGATGCTGCGAAGTACGGGGACAACGAGACAGGAGGCCAGAGGAGAGGACGAGCAGAGACGAGGAGAAACAGATGGAAAAAACTGAGGCGGCGGCTGTGGATTCCCCTGCAGCGTCCACGCCGAGCACGAGAGCGCTCCAATGGCAAAACGGCGACTGTCACGGTTTCCGCCGGTGGGGCGTGCCACCCAGGCGGGAACATAGCCAATGACACCAGCTGCTACCTGTGACAATTATTGCCCAGGCGCTTTCCATGCAAAGGAGGACGGAGGGAGAGGAGGACGAGGGGGACGGAGAGAGCGAGGAGCCCTGCCAGACAAAATCAAACTCGCGAATGCGTAGACCCGCCAGGGCATAGCCCGGGGCACCCGCACTTAGGTCCCACGCGAGTGGAAGAAGGAGGGAAGAAACAACATCCAACCGAATTTGAGAACGGGCTGAGCCCTACTAAAGCTGCCAGAGGACAGCGCGTCTGCTGAACGCGGGACATGTCACAATTAAAGAAGCTGGAAATCAGCGGCAGCGGCGGCACGGCGAGGAGGGAGGGGGAGGGAAGAAGACGGGATCAACTAGCGACCTGCAGAACTACATCACAACTAAACGCGAAACTCGCGAACGAAGGAGGGCGTACAGCTACGCCTGCAGAAGCTGCGGGCCACTACTGGTCAAGCCCTGGGGCCGCCTCATTCGGGGGGGAGCGAACAAAAAAAAAACGAAGCGCGTGAGAGCTGTGCCGAATCAGATGTGGGTACGCCATGCGAGCGCAGCCGCTGGGGACTCGTGTGGAGCTCCCAATGGGGCCACGAACAGTGTAAGCGGTGTGCCGTTTCGGGTGCGGGCACGCCGTGCGAACGCAGTCACGGGGGCCTTCGGTGAAGTTCCCTACAGGGCCACGAAACGTGAGGGTTGTGCCGAATCGGGGGCGGGTGTGCCATGCGAACGCATCCACTTGGGCCTTCGGTGGGGCGTCCTATGGGGCAACGAAACGCGTGAGGGGTGTGCCCAATGGGGTGCGGGTGCCCCATGCGAGCGCTGCCACTAGGGCGTTCGGTGGAGCTCCATACGGGTGCACGAAACGTAGGAGGGGTGTGCCGAATCGCGTGCGCGTGCGCCATGCGAACGCAGGCACTGGCGTCTTCGGTGGGGCCCCCTATGAGGCCACGAAACGTGTGTGTGTGTGTGCGTGTGTGAGTGTGTGTGTGTGTGTTTGTGTTTGTGTTTGTGTTTGTGCTTGTGTTTGTGTTTGTGTTTGTGTGTGTGTGAGTGAGTGTGTGTGTGTGTGTGTGTGTCTGTGTGTGTGCGCGTTTGTGTGTGTGTGTGTGTTTGTATTTGTGTTTGTGTTTGTGTTTGTGTTTGTGCTTGTGCTTGTGTTTGTGTTTGTGTGTGTGTGTGTGAGTGAGTGTGTGTGTGTGTGTGTGTGTGTGTGTGTGCGGGGGGGGGGGCGCGGGCGATTCGGGCGCGAGCACGCCATTCGAGAGCTGGCATTTGGTCCTTAGTAGCGGCTCCCTATGGGGCCACCAAGCGCGTGAATGATATGCCGAATTGGTTGATGGGAGGAGGGAGGAGGGGGAGGAACGCGGGGCGCTATCTTTTCAACACGGGGACCCAACACCACAGGATGGTTGGGCGACAGCTCGCCGTGTGAGTCGCCGACAGCGCTGTCTTGCGCCCCCCCCCATCCTTCCCCTCTGAAGGCTACGTGAGGCACCCCTGTCAGGGGGCGGGTTTGGACGCGCTCTGGTCAAGCGGGTAGAAGTACCCGAAAGGGTCCCTGCCGGTCAGGCGACAATGTGGCAGTCCCTCCTCCCATGGTCATCGCCTCCCTTGCCAGCAGCTGCAGGCTGGGTCCGGAATGTTGGCGAAGGGGCCTTGTTTTGTCAAGGCCGCGCCGGCCAGGCCACAGTAGCAGAGAGCGCCGTCCTGGCACAGGTGGGCAGCCCCAAACTTGCCATCGAGGAACTGGGGGTGACTACCTCCCTCCGCAAGGCACGGCCAGTCGCCCGACGAGAGTGCAGTGCAGCATCCGGCATCTACGTTGCTGGCTGCATCGCGCTGGCGCTGCCGGAGCCACACCAATGGCCCAGAAGCTGGAGATGTTGTCGTTCCCCAGTTGGCGTGGGGAGGGGGGTTCGTGCGGCCACCCAAAGAGGAGTTGAGAAAGCAGGATGCCGCTGTGCGGTGGGCGGCCTTGCTAGCGCCGCGCAGTGCTGGGTGCGATGCCTCTGTGAGCATCGTGGGCCCGAGCATCGACCTCGAATTCCAGAACGGCACCAGCTTTGGTGGCTGAGGAGGCAGTGCAGAGGGATGAGCCTTGCGGACGAAGGGCCTTCCAGATGGGGATGAATCGGGTGGCCCCATGTCCCCAGGTGATGGGCGAGCCCCCCGTCCGCCTGTGGGGCACTCCGGAAGGAGAGCTGGACCTGGAGCGCGACGGCAAGTTCGCGATGGAGAGCGTTGCGCGGCGGAACCACATCCGCCACCTATGGTAGAAGAGCGCCACAGCCCAGGACGCGGCCTCCCAGGCCGCTTTGCGCGATGGCGAGGTGCACGCCTCCAGCCTGCAGCTCGCGCGCAGCGCCAGCGCCGCCGCCATCCGCAGGGCGGCCTCTGGATATACTTACGAGTGTTACATGCTTGAGGGCGTACTTTGCGCCCACCAGGGTGACGCATGCGTCCACCAGGACGTCACGTGCAGCTGCGGGGCCGTGGCGCGCCGCCTGCGCTGGCTATGGGAGCGCAGCGGCGAGCAATCGCCGGCCACTGCTGGGGCGCCCTCCTGTCGGCGGCGCTGCGGCCTAGAGGAGAAAGCCACAGTCCGCAACGCCCCCATCATCCCGACCATGCAGCGGCCAGCGGAGGAGGCGAGGCGGGCCCAGCTTGAGCCTTTCCGCGCCGCGCTCCGGCACGCCAGAGACAACGAGGAAGCCCCAATGGCACCGTCCGCATGCGCCTCCCCCGCCCAGTACTGTCGCATGCCACGCGGCACAAGGCTTCGTGGCCCCAGAGGGAGCTCCACCGAAGGTCCCAATGGCGGTGTTCGCATTCGTTTCCCCCACCCAGGACAACGTCTTGTGGCACCATAGGGCGCTCCTCCGGAGGCCCCAGTGGCGGTGCTCGCATGCGTTCCCCCCCCCACCCAGTGCAGCGCTTCGTGGTCCCATAGGGGGCTCCACTGAGTGCTCCAGTGGCGGTGTTCGCATGCGTTTCCCTCACCGAGTACAGCGCTTCGTGGCCCCATAGGGAGCTCCGCCGAAGGCCCCAGTGGCAGAGTTCGCATGCGTCTCCCTCACCCACTGCGTGGCCGTATAGGGCGCTCCACCGAAGACCCCACTGGCGGTGCTCGCATGCGTTTCTCCCACCCAGTACAGCGGTTCGTAGCCCCATAGGGCGCTCCACAGGAGGCCCTAGTGGCGGTGCTCGCATGCGTTTCCCCCACCGGGTGCAGTTTTGTGGCCCCAAATGGGGGCTCCACCGAAGGCCACAGTGGCGGTGTTCGCATGCGTTTTCCCCAGACAATACAGCGCTTCGCAGCGCCATGGAGAGCTCCACTGAAAACTCCAATGGCGGCCTCGCGCCATTGCGGCGCACCCCTCACACGGTTTGTGGCCCCATAGTGAGTCCGGCCCAAAACCCCAGTGGCATCGCCCACATGGTGGCCCCGCCCCATATTGGCACACCGTTCCCATCCTTCATGGCCCCATGGGGAGATCCACCGAAGGCGATACCCGCAACGACGGTGCTCACAAATGCATAGGGGTGGGTCCTTCGCCAGGAGAATTCTTCCCCACATCCCGCTCCGCCTCCTCGCGCTGCTGATTGGTTGCTGACTGTGCCGACTGACTTGCAGCCGAGGTTCCAACGGGCAGCAGTGCGAGTTCTGCCACATTTGTCCCGAAGGGGAGCTGAAGAATCGCAAAAAGCAGAGGCCAGCCGTGCGATGTTGAGGGCGGAACGGAGTAATCAGGATACGATTGAAGTGACGCGGTGCCGCGGGTGTTGCAATGGACTGGAGTAGAGTGGATGGGGGGAAGTGGACGAGGCAGCGAGGTTGTAATTGGAGCGTCTGGATCGATTGTGGCGATGCGGCTTGAGCAGCGCATCAGCGTGCGGAAAGTGGTCCACGTTGCGTGTATCGTTTGGTGCTGCGGGCTATGGTTACTGCAATCTGAGGCAGCCAGCACTCCGCACATTCATTGATCGATTTAGAATGCGCCTGCTTAATTACAATAGCCCAAAACTTTCTGCGCTTCGCGTGTCTCCCCCATCTTGCAGCGCCGCCGAGGCAGCAGGACAAGAAGGCTGGCGAGACGAAGCCGTCTGGGTCACCCCGCTGCGAGCGGCCGCTCTCCCTCGATGCCGTTCGTTCTTCCTCTTCATCCATATCTTCTTCATCCGTTTCCATCTCCTCTCCACCCCTCTTCATCATGAAGGTTCCACCTCTTGCTCTCCTGCTCCTGCTTCTCCTTTCCTCTTCCGAAGCTATTCTGGCTCAAGCCATGTGGTTCAGAGTTTCGCAGCGGCGCTCGAGTTGCGAACCAGCGGCGCCAGCGCGGGGCCGGCTGGGCCTGGCGCTGGGCGCAGGCACCCGTGCCATGACGGTATAGGACGACGTCGGCAAGTGGCGGTGGCGGCTGTGCGGCATGCCATCGGGGTTGGCGGCGCTGGAGGGTGGACCACCACGCGCTGCTCGAGGAATTATCCTGGCGAAGGACCCGACCATATGCAGTTGTGAGCACCGTAATTGTGAGTATCTTCTTCGGCTCCCTGCGGGGCCACGAACATTGTGTGGAGCGTGCCGACATGTGTCGGCGGCGAGGCGACGGCCCCCTCAGTCCTCCGACGCTCCCGCTCCCCCCGCCTGCGGAACCCCCAGGGCCCTCGACCCCAGACGACGACAACGACGACGACGACGGCGGCGACAACGGCGGCGACCACGGCGACAACGGCGACGACGACGAAGTCGTGCCGCCATTCGCTGTCTCGGAGCGGGGCCCCCGGGACTGACAGAACTCAACCGAAGACGAAAGACGGCTTTAGGGAAGCTGTCGGGGCCACCAGAAGCTGCTGGGGACCCCATATTGAAGGAATCACGACAGCGGGGCCTTCGGCCAGGCTCCCTGTAGGGCTGTGAAGCCACAAACGAAACGTGTGAGGCGTGTGCCGAAATGGGTGCGGCGGACGCATGTGGACGGTGTCAGTGGGGCCTTGGGTGGAGCTCCCAAGGGGCCACGAAGCGTGTGAGAGGTGTGCCGAAGTGGGTGTGGCGGACGCATATGGACGGTGGCATTGGGGCCTTCGGTGGAGCTCCCTATGGGGCCACGAAACGTATTAGGAATGTTACCGAAATCGGTGTTGCGGACGCATGTGGACGGTGGCACTGGGGCCTTCGGTGGAGCTCCCTATGGGGCCACGGAACGTGTGAGGGGTGTGCCGAAATTTGTGTTGCGGATGCATGTGGGCGGTGGCACTGGGGCCTTCGGTGGAGGTCCCTATGGGGCCACGAAACGTGTGAGGGGTGTGCCGAAGTGGGTGTGGCGGGCGCATGTGGACGGCGGCAGTGGGGCCTTGAGTGGAGCCCCCTATGGGGCCACGACACGTGTGAGGGGTTTGCCAACATGGGTGTGGCGGTCGCATGTGGACGGTGCCACTGGGTCCTTGGGTGGAGCTCCCAAAGGGCCACTGAACATGTGAGGGGTGTGCCGAAATATGTGTGGTGGACGCATGTGGACGGTGGCACTGGGGCCTTCGGTGGAGCTCCCTATGGGGCCACGAAACGTGTGAGCGGTGTCCCGAAATGGCTGTGGCGGTCGCATGTGGACGGTGGCAGCGGGGCCTTGGGTGGAGCTCCCTAAGGGGCCACGAAACGTGTGAGGGTGTGCCGACATGGGTGTTGCGGACGCATGTGGACGGTGGCGTTGGGGCTTTGGGTGGAGCTCCGTATGGGGCCACGAAGCTTGCGAGGCTTGTGCCCACATGGGTGTGGCGGACGTATGTGGACGGTGGCGCTGGGGCTTTTGGGTGGAGTACCCTATGGGACCACGAAACGTGTGAGGGGTGTGCTGACATCGGTGTGGCGGACGCATGTGGACGGTGGCGCTGGGGCCTTCGGTGGAGCTCCCTATGGGGCCACGAAACTTGTGAGGCTTGTGCCCACATGTGTGTTGCGGTCGCATGTAGCCGGTGGCGCTGGGGCCTCCGGTGGAGCTCCTTGCGTGGCACCGAAAACGTGTGAGGTGTGCTAAAATTGGTGTGGAGTGCGCAGGTGGACGGTGGCGCTGGGGCCTTGGGTGGAGCTCCGTATGGGGCCATTGAACGTGTGAGTGGTGTGCCGAAATAGGTCTGGCTGACGCATGTGGACGGTGGCAGTGGGGCCTTCGGTGGAGCTCGCTATGGGGCCACGAAACGTGTGAGGGGTGTGCTGAAGTGGGTGTGGCGGACGCATGTGGACGGTGGCACAAGGGCCTTGGGTGAAGATCCCTTATGGGGCCACGAAGCGTGTGAGCGGTGATTGTGATGATGACGATGATGATGATGATGATGATGATGATGATGATGCTGATGCTGATGATGATGATGATGGTGATAATGATGATGATGATGATGATGATGATGATGATGATGATGATGATGATGATGATGATGATGCTGATGATGATGCTGATGATGATGATGATGATGCTGCTGCTCATTATGCTGATGATGATGACGACGATAGTAGAGATGATGCCTGTCGTGATCATGATGACGTGGATGATGATGATGATGATGATGACGACGATGATGATGATGATGATGATGATGATGATGATGATGATGATGATGATGATGATGATGATGATGATGATGATGATGATGATGATGATGATGATGATGATGATGATGACGCTTGTGATGACGATGTTGATGATGCTTATGCTGATGATGATCATGATGGGAGGAAGGGGAGGAGGAGGAGGAGGAGGAGGAGGAGGAGGAGGAGGAGGAGGAGGAGGAGGAGGAATGAGGAGACACGGGGGCTGTCTCTTCAAAACGAGGACCCAGTACCCCAGGGAAACACCATGTTTGACAGATCGAGAGGACAAGCGTTTGGTGGGTGCGGTCGCCCAGATTGCCTTGTGCTGTGCGCGCAACAGCCCCCGCCCGTCTGCCGCCGCTCCACTTCATTTGTCCGTCCACCCCCTTCCGCCATGCAACCGTGGCCCAAACGCCTGGACACGATTCCCTCCGGCGACCGCTGGGCAACTTCTCGGCGAGGCTTCCAACCGAGCAGAATTTGCGGGGCCGAGTGATCCACAGGGCCGTGGGCATGGCCGTTACGCGCCGCTGGCCCCGTGCCCATTTCCAGAATTCGACCAATGGTGGGGCAACCAAAAAAACATCCGACATAGAAAACCTCCCTCAACCGCCAACGACCGAGCGAGACGATGAACGGCGGCGCGGCGGAGAGCGACGGCCTGATCGGACACTTCCCCAAGGGCCATTGGTTCCAGGTGCTCGCGGTCGATCACGCTGCGACACGCGCGGCCGCTCAAGTGCGAGACGCAGATTCGGGGAGAACGGGCTGGGCCAACGCGTGGAAGAAGAAGAAGAATAAGACAAATAATCATAGTATGAATGGTAATAATAATGGTAGTAGCAACCAGAAAAAACTAGTAATAGCAATGTGACTACTTGTAGTAATAACAATGAGAAAACAATCGTAATACTGAGAAGAAGAATAATAATAAACATACTAATAATGATAGGAATAATAATAATACTCATACTAATAGTAGTAATAATAATACTAATAGTCATAATAATAATACTGATAATAATAATACTCATAATAAGAATAAAACTAGGAGTAGAAAACGAGGCAGGCCAGATTCCTGACAACGATCAATGAATGATGGTGAGCTGCGCGCGCCCCTTTCGCGACAATGGCGACGGCGTCGGCGGGGGCGGTGGCGCTGACGGGATGGGCGGTGGCAGCGGCGGCTGGGACTGGCGGTGGCGGCCGGGGCGGTCGCAGTGGCGGCTGGGGCGGTGGTGCTGGTGGCTGGGGCAGTGAATGGCGGCGGGGGCGGTCGCAGTGGCGGCTGGGGCGGCGGCGAGGGCGGCGTCCGTGGCGGCGGGGGCGGCGGGTTTGGCAGCCAGGGCGCGGGCGGCCAGGGCGGGGGCGGCGGGGGCCGGTGCAACCGCGGCGGCCGCGGCCTCGGCGCAGCTGGCGGCGTCGCCGCAACCGCTCAGGCGGCGGCGCCCGCACCCCCAGGATTCCACGAGCATGGACGTGGGCTCGGCGACGGGATCTTCCAAGGCCCGGCAGGCCCAGCAGGAGAGGGCCCCGCCATGCGGTGGCCGACGTTTCAGGAGCAGCAGCGCGCTTCGGGCGTCGGGCAGAAGACCGCAGAGGCAGCAGCAGCGGCCTTCGAGCCGACGTCCAAGCCAGCAGCGGGCCGCCCGAAACCGAAGGGGGCGGCGGAGCCCGCGTCAGAGGCAGCTGCAGTCCAGCCTGCGGCACCTGGGCCAGGGGAACCGCCCCCCGCAGCACTCAGGCGCTCCACCTTGAACGACACAACAGGAATGGAAGCGTTGTGGCACAGCACCAGGTGTTTCACGTTGACTAGGGCCTAGGGAAGCGACTCTGGCGCAGCAGCAGGGGCCTCATGAACTCGTGCCCGAACAGACGCAGGAGGGGCAGGAGGTCGCTGAGGCGCCCGCGCCGCCTGCGCCGCGGGGCGCGGGCGAGGCGCGTGAGCCGCAGGGCGCGGCGGGCTCTGAGCGCCTTCCCGTAGTCGGCCAGTTCGGCCATCAGGGGTCAGTCGTGCCAGTTGTGCCAGTTTGGCTACTTCGGCTAGTTGCGGGCAGATGTACCGGCTGTGTCAGAGTTGTGCCACTTGTGTCCCAGGTGCGTCAGTTGTGCGATCCGCGGCAGTTCTGAAAAATCGTGCCAGTCGTGCCACTTGCGCCAGTTGTTTCAGTTGTGCTACGGGTGCCAGTTGCGCCCGTTCTGCTGGTTCGGCCTTTGGGGGCCAGTGAAGCCAGGTGGGTCAGCTGTGCGAGCTGCGCCAGTCCGGCCAGTGGGGGGCAGTTGTGTTGGTTGTGCCAGTTGTGCCAGTCGCGCCATCGTTAATCACCGTCGCCAGCGCATGCATTAGCGTTGCCGCCATCGCCATCAGCGTCGCCATCATCGCCGCCGCCCAGCCGCGTGCCTCCTCGAGCGCGCGCCCTGCCCTCGAGGCGGCGGCTCGGCGCGAGGCCTCCAGCCGAGGCAGCGGGGGTCGCCGCGGGGGGGCGGCGCAGGCGCCGCCACTTTCGAACGCAAGGCTCGCTGCGCCT